GATCATTTTAAATTCAATGAGAAATTAAATAGAATTAAAATAAAATTAGTATTAAATGAATATCATTTACGTCTTGGTTTGAAAAATAGATTTATTGTATTAGCGGAATTTTTTTCGGAATTAATTGAATTTTTCTTCATTTGCTTTGAACAAAGTTCACACATGTACGTAATCGTCATCTAATTACACAATTGATGTGCGCAGTGATATTGTGATGTAAGAAATTTATAATTTTGGCGAGGTATTTCGCAATTTTATAAGCACAATTTGATTCCCATAAATGAACTATGAAATTTCTCTCCTTTTTTGCCTTTGTCACACGTTCGTATGCATAAATTATTTAATATTATCGAATCGACACTTGAATCGATTATCTTGAAAATAAAATTTATAATTAAATTAAATTAATCGATATTTGATGTGTATACCCGCGGTTATTGATTAATTCATCGATTTTTATTTCATTTTAAATTTATTGAAACTATGTTTTAATGAACACAAATTATAATAATTTATTATTTTTTTTTATTAATTTACTATTAAAAAAGAAGAATTATTTAGAAGAATTTTATCGATATCGAAAATTTAAAGACATGTTCATAAAAAAATTGAAATGTATACACTAAGCAATGCATATCTAGTCCGAATTTGAAAACTGTGTCACGAGGTTATCGATTTACGATTTGTAATGTGAAAATGATCGGTAGGAAGAACGCGTCTTTGTAATTTAAGAGGAACGCGTTTTGAAATTTTAATGATCGTTGTATTGTACTGTTACATTGAATCATTTCCGATGATTCCTTTATGACCTATATATAATAATAAAGCAATAATAAAATTATACTATATAAGATCGTTGTACCAATTGTCACATTTTATAAAAAAGAATTATTTAATAAAGAAGGAAATGAAGAAAGTGACAAAATTTCACTTTTCTCTTATGCTTTCGTGCATGATGATGATTAATGTCATAAGCGAGGATTTGTAGCGAAGAGGAAATGATAGGAAAATAAGAAGAAAAGAGAGTGATAAGATGAAAGCGATGGAGAAACATTGAGAATTAAAAGTGGCAAAGGATAGATGTTAGTTGAATATGTAATATAAAGAAACGAGACATCGCAGACATAGACAATGCGAAAAAAATAAAAGGATCGATAAATAGTAAGAAGGAAGGAAGGAAGAATGTTGAGAGGAAAGAAGAGACGTAACAATAAAAAAAATTAATAGGTGGAATTAAAGATTAAAAATAGAAAAGGAGGAAAAGTACGATTCGACATAAAAGAAAAAAAAAAATACATAACTTGACAATTTATAATTCTTTAAAATCCAATAGAATAGTGGGTGAAAGTCAGAATAAGTAGGTTTCGAATATTGACTATTATATTAACAGGATTAGGCACAGTATCGTCCAAGGTAATTGGAAAGACCTTTTTAGCATTATGTAACTGTTCTTATAAAATGATCACAGGTGTACCGCATTCAAAACAGTTTCAGTATTATTTATCATTCTGCCAGAGAGCTATTCAATATGCTAAATATAATTCTAATGAGAATAATTATTGAACTGTTGATTATATTAACTAGTTTGTAAACTAGTTTTGCAATTAAATAATCATAATGTTCGATTATTTTTAACTTAGTATATTTTAGTACTTTATCTTATCTAAAAACTTGAATTGCACGAATACCGAGAAATCACTAATCAGTTTCTTTGGAGAAATTTCTTTGATGATTCGAAAGTAGAAGTTTAGAGAACTGTTAAAATTTCTTTATATTTTTCTTTATGTATCGTTTATTACTTATGCGTTTGATTTCTTGTTATATTCGTATGGCCAGAATTTTCCTTATTCGTTCGAAGAAACAAAAATCGAAAATTTTCCTATTTCATTCTCGTTAGTAAACTATAAATATATAAATATACTAGTGGAAGAAAACGAGTTTAAGAGTTCCATAATTGTTCTGGCAATCCGCCAAACGTTATACTTGAAAACCGATGGTCGTAGTGCCGTATGTATCGATCATAGACATTTGTTTCAAAAATCATTTGAAAATATTGAAATTTATAATTGAAAATTATAATAAAATATTATAATAATATATAATATATAATATAATATGTACAATAAATAATTATTTTATTGAAAATATTGAAATTTACCTTTAAATTTCATTAATATCAATTTATTGTTTAAATGTTATATTAAATTTTTTTTTCTATTGCTAAATTATACTTTCGTTTGTAGAAGATATTTAAATAAACTTTCACTTTTTCCAGATATATTTTCCTATATTGTTTCATAATAATTTACGATTACCTAATGTAGCAACTATTGTAGCTGCTTTGTGTTCATCACTATTAAAATTGCATGCTTCTTTCCACCCTTGTACCGCGTGATACACGAACCTGAGCCAATAATTGTTTCCAAAGTTATAATTTTCTAGCTATGTTATGCGTGTAATGATCGATGTGTCTATAATTATGTGTTGTTAACTTTCGTTGTTACGTACACCAAGTTCCAATTTTATAGCTGTCATATACATACATTGAAAGGATTAAAACGAGCGTTCATTACAGTGGAAATACATTTATTGGAACAAAAATTTTATTCGTTAAATCTATTTCGATCCATTTATTAAAACTAAATTTATGTTAAAAAAAAAAAAAAAAAAAAAAAAGATAGTGTTTCAAAACAAGTACAATTCGTTGACTAATTCTCTGCACATTTGCAAAAAAGGTAAAATGTGCACACTCTTTTTCTTGGATTCAAGACAAAGCTACTTTTATGACTATATCTTCTTTTTTCTTTTTGTATGTTTTTACTGCATACTTAACACTTTCACACTTTCAGACTTTTCAGATGTTTGAGATTCGTCATCGACGAGCAATTTTTCTTTTTTTTTTAAATTTTCAAAAATAAATAAATTCTGAAAAAAGAAGATAATTGTATCGAGTACTTATTAAAAAATATATATATATATATAAACAATGCAATAGCTGGCAATCAAATTTACATGAATATTCACATGAGTAAATATTCATGAGATCGTATTATCACGAAATTAGCAATTAAAATCCATACATCTTTAGTAAAACATATTAAAAATATTATGAAAAAATATTACGATATAAAAGAATATTTCATTTCATATCTTCTTTTTTTTTTTTCTTCAAAAGAAAAAAGAAGAAAAGAACCGTATAATTTCTCTCGATCGCATAATTTTTTTTTTTTTTTTTATTAAAACATTCGCTAAAATATGATGTGCTGAAATGAGACGAAGAAAGATGAAAAACTTTTAGAGGAGGAACTCTAAAGAGGAGGGAGAGAAAAAAAAAAAGAAAGAAAGAAAAAAAAGTGACGCGATTAGACGGAAAGAAACGGAAAGGAAATAAGGATGTATTTGTCAGTCAGTCGGTCGCGGTCATTGTTCGTCGCATAACGGGTTCTCATGTAACGGGGTCGAGCGACGTTCTTCCCCTCTTTTCTTCCTACAGTCTTGGCGGAGATCATGGAACGGGTGGATTCTCGTGACCGGTTTAAAGCTGGGACGTTGACCTAGAATTCCATCGGAACCGTTTTTCTTTAACGATACGTTTCTAGCATTTTGTAATTTGTTATTGTAAATTAAATAAGATTCGAAAATCCACAATAGGCTATGGGTATCGATTGTAGTTTTGGAAATCGTATTAGGAACGCTGTTGTTGTTATTAATTTTAAATTGCGCGTATAGATCTAATGATCGAAAAATGATCGGTAGAAGTCGATACCGATTTAAATTTTCCTTTTTCCATTTCAGCCAGATTAATTTTTCTGAAAATTTCTGAATATCGATGGATCATCAGTTTCAAAAGATAAGCAGAGAAGCAAAAAGAAATATCGGAAACTTTATTAAAAAGTGATAAATAAATAAGCGATAAATTAAATATTAGTTGAAATAAATATTTATGGCATATGAAATATTTATTTCTCTACTTTTTTTTTTTTTATCGATTTAATATTTTCGTATTTATACTAAATGTTGTTCATCTCGTAATAATAGTAATGTATGCATAATATCTCAAAATTTTACATATAAATGACGATAATATGATCGATTAAAAATGAATGAGCGACATATGATTATAAATATTTTTATCTCGTAATATACATATATGTAAATATTGGGATAAAGAAGATATTTGAAAGAAATGAGATTCTGATTATTTCCATTGTTGAAACTCGTCCATCTATTAACATGGATTGATTCAAATTAATTCAAATCTAGTTTCCAAAAATATCTCGAGAATATCAGAACTCGTTTAAAAGTGATCCTAAACTCTCGCTTTAATCTTGAATTCTTTTTTTTTTTTTGTAATTTTTTTTTTTTAATAAATTATTCAGAAAGAAATTTCCATAATATTATTAATAATTTATCAGTTATTCTTAAGTAAAAAGTGATCTCTGAGATTCAAAATGATTGCGATATTGACTGATATTGACTATTAAAAAAAAAAAAAAGGGGGATAGAAAAAAAGACATATTATAAAATAAATCTACGTAAAAAAAAAAATTTCTTTTTCGAATAGATAATTTTGAATAATTCTAATGTTTATCCTTTCCTCTTGTTTTTTCTAGGTGAACGAATATTGTGGTCGCTAGAAGGCACGAAATGAATCCAATAGAAATTAAATCTATCCGTAATCGACTTGAAAAACTTGGAAAACTTTGGAACCACGTGAACGTGTATCATTTTTGTTGTACCTTTCTCAAATTCTCTTTCTCCATCTTTGAGGGATCGATGTTCATTGTTCCGTAATTTGTACAGCCGTGAACGAACGAACGGAAAAAGAAACGAAAAGAAAGAAATATATATGTGTATATATATATATATATATGTATACATATATATATATATATATTTATATATTTATACGCATATATAGATCTATATCCTAAAAAAAGGATAGAGAAGATTCAAGCAAGACCAAAGATAAAACCGAAGATAAAGAAAAAGTTCTAAGAAGCTTGCAAATAAGAGAAAGATTTTTTTAAAAAAGCGCCAACCACTGGGGATTATCTGGAAAAAGAGGGAATAATTAATTTTTGTTCATTCAAACTGACATATAGTGTGAAAAGGCAGGCGTCAAAATGAGCACAATAAGTGACAACCAGTGTACATCTGTAAGAGATTTCTACAAGGACAGATCTATCTTCATCACCGGTGGTACCGGATTTATGGGAAAAGTTCTTGTTGAGAAGTTACTCAGATCTTGTCCTGGAATAAAGAACATTTATATTCTGATGAGACCTAAGAAGAGTCAGGATATTCAACAGAGGTTGCAGAAATTGTTAGATGTGCCGGTATGATTATTTCTTATTTTACTTTGTTGCCTTTAAAAAAAAGATCCGAAGAAAAGAAGTTTCAAGTTCGTGTGCTGTCTTTCAGACTTGGACAAGTTTTAAGTTTAAGAAACCATCGATTCGAAAGTCACGCATTACGAATGTAAAATTTCTCCAAATTTAAAGGCCTGTTAAGTAATCGGTACATAAAACTCGGTTAAAAATTTCTAATGCTCCAAAAAGAAGTTAATAGGAATTTCAATTCAAAATTGAGGATACAAATTTAAATTTTAAATATTAATCAAATCAAATCAATCTTTTTCTTCTCATAGATTAATTGGATCGGAAAAAAGAATTTTTGAAATATGAAATGTTTAATTATAATTAATTAAATTTTGTATAATAAAAGAAACGTTAGATTTTTGATCCGATTTGTTAATTTTGTCAAAAATTATCTTTGTGTTTTTGTGGTAACTGTAAAAATATGATATGATTTTAATAATCGTCGCGATTTATATAATTTTTTACCATTAACACGTCAAAATGTTCACAGCTGTTCGATAAATTGCGTCGAAACGCTCCTGATGAACTTTTGAAGATAATCCCCATAGCTGGAGACGTGACAGAGCATGAGCTGGGCATCTCGGAAGCTGATCAAAATGTTATAATAAGAGACGTGTCGATCGTTTTTCATTCTGCTGCCACTGTGAAATTCGACGAACCGTTGAAGCGTTCGGTTCACATCAATATGATCGGCACTAAACAATTGTTAAACTTATGTCATCGCATGCACAATTTAGAGGTAAATATATACATATATATATATATATATATTATAATATATAAAAATTCTTATGTATGATGCAGATAGAACAGAATATGCAATAATGTACAATAATTGATTTGTATATAAAATAATCATTTTAAAATAAAGGCGGATTTGAAGAAGATATTGATGTAATAATTCCACTTTGATCAAAAAACCAATATTGAATCTCAAATATTGTTTGAAACTTCTCATAGATTCAATTAATATTATAATATGAGTAATAGAAATGTATAATTTTCCATAATATGTGTTTTTCTTTTCGTATTAAAATAGAAAAAAAGATAAATATCCACCAAATTTTAATAAATTTATCGTTTATTCCTATTTATAGGCTCTGATCCATGTTTCCACGGCATATTGTAATTGTGACCGCTACGATGTCGCTGAGGAGATTTACCCTGTATCGGCGGAACCAGAAGAAATAATGGCTTTAACGAAATTAATGGATAGCCAAATGATCGATAATATTACACCGACTTTGATCGGTAATCGGCCGAATACCTATACGTTTACCAAAGCTCTGACTGAAAGAATGTTGCAATCCGAATGTGGTCATTTGCCGATTGCAATTGTAAGACCCTCTATCGTCCTTTCTTCGTTTAGAGAACCAGTATCTGGATGGGTGGACAATTTAAATGGACCAACTGGAATTGTTGCCGCTGCTGGCAAAGGTTTCTTCAGGTAACTTTGAACTATTTGTTCGTCTTGTAGTTTAGTTAGATATTCTTTTAGGGGAGAAGAATTTGATCTAATGTTAAAATCATTGTAAATCTTGATATTGAAAAAAATACATTATAATTTAAGGATTGAGTCAAACGAAGAATCAGTGTAATATAGGATAATTTCTTGGATTATTAATAATTTAAGAGAAACAAATAATAATAATAATAAAGTTATATGAATTATATAAATTAATGTTCATGGAATACTTAGAATTAAACTATTTAAAAGATTGATATTTTTTTCTTTCTAAACTTTCCAAATGATTGAATTAATTATTAATAATAGAATAAATATTCTTTCATCGCAGATCTATGTTGTGTCAGAAAAATATGGTGGCAGATTTAGTGCCAGTCGACATAGTGATAAACTTGATGATTTGCACGGCATGGAGGACTGCGACAAATCGCACGAAAACAATTCCCATATATCATTGTTGTACAGGCCAACAGAACCCAATCACCTGGCAGCAGTTCGTTGAACTGATATTAAAATATAATCGAATGCACCCACCGAATGACACAATTTGGTGGCCGGATGGCAAGTGTCATACATTCGCTATAGTGAACAATGTATGTAAGCTCTTCCAGCATATTTTACCGGCGCATATTTTGGACTTCATTTTTCGACTGAGAGGCAAACCAGCCATTATGGTCGGTCTACATGAGAAAATCGATAAGGCTGTTAAATGCTTAGAGTACTTTACTATGCAACAATGGAACTTCAGAGATGACAATGTTCGACAATTGAGCGGAGAACTTAGTCCAGAAGATCGACAAATTTTTATGTTCGATGTCAAACAAATTGATTGGCCATCGTATTTGGAACAATACATATTGGGAATTCGGCAGTTCATTATTAAGGACAGTCCGGAGACACTGCCAGCTGCTCGTTCACATATTAAAAAGTAAGTAAAAAATCGAACGCGGTGGTAATTTTTATAAATTTTTTTTTTTTTTTTACTTTTCCTTTTCGTGAAACGAGTTATATAATTATATTGAAAAATATTGAGAGATAACGAACAGTGAAATTAGAATTTTTAATTTTAGAATTATATAAAATACACCTAAAAAAATGATCATTTTATATTATATAATATTAATTTATTTAATTATATTTCAGATTATATTGGATTCAAAAAGTTGTAGAATTCGGGATGATATTAGTGGTGCTGCGTTTTTTGTTGTTGCGCATACCTATGGCCCAAAGCGCATGTTTTACACTATTGTCTGCCATATTACGCATGTGTCGTATGATTGTTTGACGGCTCAGAATGCCGATTGAAAATCGCGAAAAGCGTTATAAGAAACAACTAATCGTAAAGAAGCATAATTTAATGGTGCAGGTTATCCTTCAATTTCATTGCTCATCATCCCATCGGTTGGCCTTTTCGATGTTTCTATTTGTTCATAACTAAATTAGCGTTCGCTAGAGATATTAAATTTCGCGGAGAGTGTCAGTTATGAAGCAAGTTCAAAAAGGACATAAATAATGAAATAAAAAGAAAAAAAAAGAAAAAAAAAAGACAAAAAAAAAGAAAAGAAAAGAAAGGAAAACGTGCATTCGAAGCTTCCAAAGTTACCACGTGTAAAAGTCATTTTGTTATATTACTTGAAAATTAACGAAAAAGGTATAATCCTTTTGGATACGTTGTTTTATTCAAGCAACAGAAATGCAGAAAAGAAAGTTCAGACATTTACGACCATACGTTTATTGTGGATATATTTCATTGTCATTATAATCGTGTTTTTCGATGTTGCCTCAAAAGAGCACTTTGTTCTTGAACATCGATTTTTCGCATATCGATTTGTAATGACATGACACTAGAAGTATTCGAACAGATTATTAAAAATCCTGATGCAGTTATCTTCCAGATTTATCTATTAATTGATTCTGAAGAAACAGACTAAAAAGAGATTAGTGATTAAATAATAGACTAAAAAAATAGTCGAGGAGATACAAAAGCGAGACAGCTATATATATATTTAAGTATGCGCATTGTGTATATATATTACACATATATTAACATTTTTTGCTAAAATAAACAATTACTATATTGCTAATAGAAGTGAAATAAGTTGGAAGATGACTGTACATATTTTGTGTCTCAGTCTGTTATTTTTCACGGTAATCATCGCGTATAGTGCGATTTGAGATCAACGACGCGTGAACTCCGTGAGCCGGCAACTTGAACTAATTGAAATTTATCGATTAAAATTAATCGATATTTATTATAAAACCTTGTAATTTATTGATATTTTGTTAAATGTGTTCTCTTTCTTAAATTTTTTTTCTTATTCTCGATGGTCGAGAAAAAAAAAAGTATTTAAAAAAATTATTATTTATTTATGTTTAGATTTTTAATGAAAATAATTGTGTTTAATGTGCTTTTTTATTCATTGACCTTGAAATTTTCATAATTTTTTTAATTAGCAAGGTTTTATCGTGTATTCCATTTTCGAGGAAATAAATCTTGATCATTTTTTTCTTTTTTTCTTTTTTCTTTCTTTCTTTCTTTTTTTTTTTTCTGTTAAAAAGAAGAAGAAGAAAAAATAAAAAGGAAAAAGAAAAAAAGAAGTTTTAAAGTTAATCGTAGGTAGTAAATCAAAGCGATAGATTATTAATTATACGAATGTGTATTTTATAACATTGCCAAACGATTTTAACGCACGCTAAATTTCTTCCTTTTTCATCATTTTTACAATATTTAGAAATAATAAACAATTTCTTCGTGTAAAAGATCGTTTAACCTTTTCAGAAATAAAATTTTTTTTTAAATATCTAGCTACTTCTTCAAGTAGACTTTTTCACAATTTCATGTAATAAATTATACGATACAATACCATATGTGTAGTATAAAATCAGAAAGGGTTAAACATCTAGTTAGCATCGAATCCTTTCGAGTCTGCGTAATATCAATCTTTCTTCTCAAATTACTATTTAAATTTTACTTTTGTTAATAAAGAAGGGAAACGTAGACTCGAAATGATTGATTAGAAAAAAAAAAAAATTTTTTAACGCCGGCTAGAGGAGTTGTAAATTCGTCGTGCCTTTGTGTCGTTGCCATTTGGCATTTTGTTCGTTCATTTGTACTGTGACATAAGATATTATAGACGTATATTTAGTCACATTCTTACGTCGATGCATGCTCGATTATATCATCCTCATTTGGTTTCACCATCAACGAACCAAGTTACTGTTTCTAAACAACATCAAATGTTCGATTGATAAAGTGTAATTATAATTTCTGTATGAAAGATAATCTTTTGTATGCGTTACATTGTTGTTATTATTTTGTTTGAAAAATTATTTGTAAAAAAGAAAAAAATGGATGTAGGCACGGATGAAGGGATGCGTTATAACTTTGTTTAATGTATTTAAATTTACTCGATTTTATCGTGTACACTTTTAATTAAACAATTAGATGAATTGTTTGGATACATTCCAATATCCTCTTAATTTAATGATCTTTGTTTCCTAATTAAGACATGTTATTTATAATTTTGATGTAAGAAACATATGAATCATTAAATTTTAACTTAATAATAAATATAAAATGCAAAACTAGATTTTGTATAAAAAATTTGTTTCGTTTTTGGTGAAATTGAAGACATAGGAGGACATTGACGAGTGCCAAGACATCCAGCTTGTTATAATTAGCACAAATGTGGTGCGTTTACTGCTAAATCATTGTAATGGAGAAAAATATCAGAACAACATATAACTATCTATTATATTCATTCGTGTCCAAGTATGGATGCTTATAAATCGAAAATTCCAATATGGAAATCGATTCCATGAAACACATAATATCACACACTGCTTTTTAAATTTGCTACCGGTAGGCATGACATATTAATATAAATTTTAATCACCAAAGTACCAAGCATTTATTTTTAAAAGAAGAAACTTGTTTAAAAACATAAAAAAAGCTTAAAGCTCCAACTTAAAAACGAATTTTTTTTATTAAAACTTATTGCCATCTAAGAAAAAATTTAAATGATTTCAAATAAAAATTCAAATGGATGTTTTCAAGAAACTTTCAATAATAATGAACTTTGAATTTAAATTAATCAATTATTTGGTGAACTTTATAAATGCTGGCTTTACAACAGAATGTTAAAAAAAATAATAATAATTAACATTTTTGCAATTGCAGAATAGTGAAGTAAAAATATTATAAATAAATAATAATAGTACAAAATATATTTGAACGTTTCTTGAGAAAAAAGAGGAAGAACTGCCACCGGTATGCGAAAAATTATAATGAAAAATTTGAATACGGTTGTTTTTTTTTAAATAGAAGTTGTATTTAAATTATTATTATGCAAATACGAAGTGAGATACATAAATATCATTAGATATATTATGTCATTCATAATGAAATTAAATTTTAAAAGCATTGGCGACTTATTTTTTTGTTTCATTTAAGTTTTTCGCGCGTACTCAATAGTGAGAAAAAATTATTTTATATGTAAATAGAAATTTATTATAATACATGCGTTCCATCATTTTTTTGTTATTCAGATTTTTGTGAATTGTCGTCATTATACTCTTATCAATATAAGTTATTATGTTATTATATTTAAACTTGCGTTAATCATTAATTCTATCATATAAAATACTCCACGAAAACTTTAATTAATTTTCATTTTACAATATTAAATGTGACGCTAGTCTGTACACAATTGCTTCCTTTTATGCTAATGTATGCTAATGTGCTCTGTTGCCTGTGCCTTTAAAACAATGATTGATTGGTCGCCCATTTTTCAAATATATATATTATATAATTTTCTCGACTTTGGAGAAGTAATTTACTTAGGTACAACTCTTTTTTGATTAATCGCTTTAAGTTTAAACGGGCTTCCTTTTTATATTCATTTCACTGCGATATTTTCTATTTATTGTTCAAAAACGCTGCCAAGATACAATGGAAAAATGGGAGAAAGAAAATAAAAGATGTGTTGCGATATGGAAAAGAAAAGAAGCAAAATGAGCAAAATTTTGTGAAAAGAAATTGGACCGAATATGATATTAAAAAAATTATTAAAAAATATGAGAAAGAAAAACTAAATAATAATTAGTTAACATTAAGGATAAAAAGAAAAAATAATGTATGAAGGGGTATCGAGGGTCACCACCTGCTAGTCTTGTCTATATCGTTATTCGGTTACACAATACATACAAGGAAATAATGTTTAATATAATCGATTTAATTAATATTATACTGTACTACTTATAAATTACATTAAAAATAATGAACCATTGCAAATGAATCTTTTAACATGCCCTTTGAAACGATCAATTAATAAAAATAATTTAAAAATAACAAGACTCGTTAATCTCTAATTCAGAAATATTATTTACATATTAAATATATTTTTATGTATAGAGAAAATCATTTTATTCTTTTATGTGAAATATCTCATTTTTATTACAATATATTAAAAATATTTTATGATATAAAATGCTTTATAGTTTTATAAAGAAAATGAACATGTGTTCAATTGACATTCTATATATTGTACATATGAACAAGTCTATAAACAAGGAAAGTAAATAAGAGAAGAAAGACAAACATAGGGTAAAAATTAGAGAATCACCGCTATCTTCAAAATATCGCAAATGAAACACATAAAGAAAAGACAGAAAATAATAGGAAAAGGATAGATATAAAACAAGAATTCATTTTTACCGCCATCTCTTGAATGGCAAAGATATTATTTTAAAAGGTAAAGTAGAATAGGAATCAATAATTAGTACCATCTATTGAATATTTTCTAAAATATATATAAAAAAATGCTTTAGTACTCAAGAAATGTCGCTAAAAGTCAATTCTTACTCTATCTCTATTTTTTTTCTATTTTTTATCCTTTCTTTAAATTCCTTTCATTTGCGACTTTGAAGATAGCGCTGATTCATTAATTTTTTCTTTTCCTTTCTCTGTCCTACTCACATTATTTAATTTCTTCATCTATAATTGCACTGCAATATTTATATGCTTAAAAAACTGTTTATACACTCGATTAACTTTATTATTATCATCTTTATTATTTTTGATTATAATTCAAAAATTTTAATAAAGTCTATTTAATCCGATATTTATAAATTGTCATATATGTATATATATTTATTTTCTTATATATTATAATTAATATATATTTTTTATACATAAATTAGTTTTTCCATATTTTCGCAAATGTGTTAAATATTATTATGATTTCGTATTTTGTATATACCTTTATTTCTTTTTATATTTTATATTTACATATTTCATACTTTTATATATACATATTTTATACTTTTATGTTTTATGATAATTTTTGGAATTAGAAAAGATTGAAAAACTAAATGTTAAAAAGGTAAAGATTCATTATTAGACGTAAGTAAAATGATGAAAAATGATTTCTCAAAATATTCCTAAAAAATAGCCAGATAAGAATAAAAATAAGTAAAACAAATATCAATAAATTCAAAAAAATCCTCGCTTACTATATTCTCCTAATATAATTCTTGATCGAATAAAATTTTTGGCTAAAATTTCGATTTTGTATTAGAAGAACATAAGTTGACAGGAGGTCGTTCAAGAAATTTTTCCAAGAAATTCGGCAGTTTCTGGAAATGACGACAAATTCTTGGAATTTTCGAATTTCTTAGAAATAATGTCAAATTCCTGGAATTCTCGAAATTCTTAGAAATGACGTCAAATTCCTGGAATTTTAAGAATTCTTGGAAATGACGTCAAATTCCTGGAATTTTAAGAATTCTTGGAAATGACGTCAAATTCCTGAACGAATATATATTATATAATTTTCTCGACTTTGGAGAAGTAATTTACTTAGGTACAACTCTTTTTTGATTAATCGCTTTAAGTTTAAACGGGCTTCCTTTTTATATTCATTTCACTGCGATATTTTCTATTTATTGTTCAAAAACGCTGCCAAGATACAATGGAAGAATGGGAGAAAGAAAATAAAAGATGTGTTGCGATATGGAAAAGAAAAGAAGCAAAATGAGCAAAATTTTGTGAAAAGAAATTGGACCGAATATGATATTAAAAAAATTATTAAAAAATATGAGAAAGAAAAACTAAATAATAATTAGTTAACATTAAGGATAAAAAGAAAAAATAATGTATGAAGGGGTATCGAGGGTCACCACCTGCTAGTCTTGTCTATATCGTTATTCGGTTACACAATACATACAAGGAAATAATGTTTAATATAATCGATTTAATTAATATTATACTGTACTACTTATAAATTACATTAAAAATAATGAACCATTGCAAATGAATCTTTTAACATGCCCTTTGAAACGATCAATTAATAAAAATAATTTAAAAATAACAAGACTCGTTAATCTCTAATTCAGAAATATTATTTACATATTAAATATATTTTTATGTATAGAGAAAATCATTTTATTCTTTTATGTGAAATATCTCATTTTTATTACAATATATTAAAAATATTTTATGATATAAAATGCTTTATAGTTTTATAAAGAAAATGAACATGTGTTCAATTGACATTCTATATATTGTACATATGAACAAGTCTATAAACAAGGAAAGTAAATAAGAGAAGAAAGACAAACATAGGGTAAAAATTAGAGAATCACCGCTATCTTCAAAATATCGCAAATGAAACACATAAAGAAAAGACAGAAAATAATAGGAAAAGGATAGATATAAAACAAGAATTCATTTTTACCGCCATCTCTTGAATGGCAAAGATATTATTTTAAAAGGTAAAGTAGAATAGGAATCAATAATTAGTACCATCTATTGAATATTTTCTAAAATATATATAAAAAAATGCTTTAGTACTCAAGAAATGTCGCTAAAAGTCAATTCTTACTCTATCTCTATTTTTTTTCTATTTTTTATCCTTTCTTTAAATTCCTTTCATTTGCGACTTTGAAGATAGCGCTGATTCATTAATTTTTTCTTTTCCTTTCTCTGTCCTACTCACATTATTTAATTTCTTCATCTATAATTGCACTGCAATATTTATATGCTTAAAAAACTGTTTATACACTCGATTAACTTTATTATTATCATCTTTATTATTTTTGATTATAATTCAAAAATTTTAATAAAGTCTATTTAATCCGATATTTATAAATTGTCATATATGTATATATATTTATTTTCTTATATATTATAATTAATATATATTTTTTATACATAAATTAGTTTTTCCATATTTTCGCAAATGTGTTAAATATTATTATGATTTCGTATTTTGTATATACCTTTATTTCTTTTTATATTTTATATTTACATATTTCATACTTTTATATATACATATTTTATACTTTTATGTTTTATGATAATTTTTGGAATTAGAAAAGATTGAAAAACTAAATGTTAAAAAGGTAAAGATTCATTATTAGACGTAAGTAAAATGATGAAAAATGATTTCTCAAAATATTCCTAAAAAATAGCCAGATAAGAATAAAAATAAGTAAAACAAATATCAATAAATTCAAAAAAATCCTCGCTTACTATATTCTCCTAATATAATTCTTGATCGAATAAAATTTTTGGCTAAAATTTCGATTTTGTATTAGAAGAACATAAGTTGACAGGAGGTCGTTCAAGAAATTTTTCCAAGAAATTCGGCAGTTTCTGGAAATGACGACAAATTCTTGGAATTTTCGAATTTCTTAGAAATAATGTCAAATTCCTGGAATTCTCGAAATTCTTAGAAATGACGTCAAATTCCTGGAATTTTTAAGAATTCTTGGAAATGACGTCAAATTCCTGGAATTTTAAGAATTCTTGGAAATGACGTCAAATTCCTGGAATTTTAGAAATTCTTAGAAATGACGTCAAATTCCTGGAATTTTAAAAATTCTTAGAAATGACGTCATATTCCTAGAATTTTTCAAATTCCTGAACGAACGAAATTTTTGGCTAAATTTTCAACTTTGTATTAGGAGAACATGAGTTGATAGGAGGTCGTTCGAAAATTTTTTCCAAGAATTTCGGCAGTTCTTGGAAATGACGTCAAATTCTTGGAATTTTAAAAATTCTTAGAAATGACGTCAAATTCCTGGAATTTTAAGAATTCTTAGAAATGACGTCAAATTCCTGGAATTTTAGAAATTCTTAGAAATGACGTCAAATTCCTGGAATTTTAAAAATTCTAGGAAATGACGTCATATTCCTGGAATTTTTCAAATTCCTGAACGAACGAAATTTTTGGCTAAATTTTCAACTTTGTATTAGGAGAACATGAGTCGATAGGAGGTCGTTCGAAAATTTTTTCTAAGAATTTTGACAGTTATTGGAAATGACGTCAAATTCCTGGAATTTTAAAAATTCTTAGAAATGACGTCGAATTCCTGGAATTTTAGAAATTCTTGAACGGACGAAATTTTTGGCTAAAATTTCGACTTTGTATTAGGAGAACATAAGTTGACAGGAGGTCGTTCAAGAAATTTTTCCAAGAAATTCGGCAGTTTCTGGAAATGACGTCAAATTCTTAGAATTTTCGAATTTCTTAGAAATGATGTCAAATTCCTGGAATTTTCGAAATTCTTAGAAATGACGTCAAATTCCTGGAATTCTCGAAATTCTTGAACGGACGAAATTTTTGGCTAAAATTTCGACTTTGTATTAAGAGAATATAATTTGTGTAACATGTAAAATTTTTTGAAAATATTATGAAATAAAAATTTTTTATTATTTTATATTTAATTATATTTTATTATTTTTTATTATTTTATATTTAATTATATTTATCTATACTTACCTTGTTTTTATACCTACCTCTGCAAACTACTATTTGTTGTTTTAATCGTTTTTTAATAATGTACTTATTTATACTAGATTCAAGGATACAAATAAAGAAAAAGATTTTATTTTTGATAATATATAAAATGTTTTATATAAATTACATAAATTACATAAAATTGATTGGTTTCAATGGTGGCATATTTTAATATCATAAATTTTTTTAATTTTAATTTAAATTGCTTAATTAAATTAAATTAATCAAATGTATATGCTATATATATATGAATATTTATAGTACAAATTTTGAATATTAAAATTTAAAAAACCAATATTTTTTTATTATTAATTTTATCAATATTAATCATTAAAGTGAATGTAATTTTTAAATTCGCGGTTCTAAATCGTAGATGGCATATACAATTTCTTGTTGTATGATCGATAATTCAGAACATACCATACAAAGTCTCGTAAGATGATAGATCTATTCTATATGTAGTCTATGGCAGTATGATGCCATAAAAAGTAAGAGGTAAAGAATCAGTCGCAAATCAGTAACAAAATATTATTGTAAAAAAAAAGAAAAAGAGAAAGTAGAACAATATATTCTTGATTATTAGAATGTAATAAAAAAAAGTGTAACCAAAATAGTAAGTATTTTATAATCTTTTGTATCTAAAATAAATATAAATTTCGTTCAATATTATGCAATTATTATACTTTTTAAACAAACAATATATTAAAAATGAATGCATTTTGATGATCAATTTCATTATGTACAAAATAAACGAAAAATATTTCTTGATTTTATTATAAATTACAATAGATAGTAAGATGAATATTAATATATATTCCTATACTATATCCATCCAATCACAAGTCATGATAACGAATATAGTTACTGGCTTTTGTCCATAATGATCCGGATGTTCCTAATTTTATCAATCCAGAATCTCTTATCGCACGTACTGATTTTCTCGATTGCTTCTTATTACTTTGTTATCGAAGACAATTCAATTCTTTTATGTTATAAATACGCAATTACAATGTATTTCTGATATATATATATATATATATATATATATATATAT